TCAAAATTATTTTAAAAACAAACTCTAAGTGATATTGAATATACGTGTTATAACCAAGTAAAGGAGTTCACAATTGTCCGGGATTATCGTTAACAGCCATAATAACATGAAGAATTAATAGTAACCTTAAAAACAGTGATTTAATGGTTTACCGAGTAAACGTTTTTAAAAATAGATCATTTACTTGTGAAAGCTGTGATACGAAACTATATTATATTAAATTATTATGCACATTACGTAGCACTGTAAGTAGATAATAGAAAGCGAAGATTAATAGTGTAATATTATTATATAGTAATATAAAAATATTTGATTTTTTTTTATAATTTAGTTTAAAAATCTACCTACTCTGATAAACTAACAAACAACGCCATCTAGAGTTGAGTAGGAAAAATCACGCACTATACAAGATTGTAGTAATTGTTCAAACTTACCGACAGGTGGAATATATTGAAAAATTTAAACGCAATTTATAAGCCCTTAAGTCATGGCTCCCAAAAACACATGTTCGGGATGTTTGAAAATTATACTTGATCGAAATTATCTTTCTTGCTCTGCCTGTAAACTTAAGTACGATCTTGCATTCGCTAACATCTCAGAGCAGCGCTTTCAAAATATCATGACAGCTGTGCACAAATCATCATGGATATGTCCCGGATGTCACAATGCCCAAACGAGACAATACAATTAAACCCATACGTTCCAACAGCTTGTTAGACGATGTACAAAAACCAAACCATCAAAATGAAGTCAATTTACGACACCAGCGCAATCTTAATAAGATCGCGTCCCAAAGTAAAAACGACTACCTCTACAGCAATGGAACGACAAATCAGTGACGACTCCGTCGATGAACAGGTGATAGAAGACAAAAGCATATCAGGAGACACTATGGATCCACCATCATCTCTAACACAAGAGCCGAATAAACACTTTTTAGGGATACCAACCATGAATCAAATAGCGCACTACTGGACGAAAAGTTAGAGGCGAATAAAAAGTGCATTATAATGGAAATTAAGACTGAAATAAATATTGAATTAAAATCTATAATACTACAAGAAATTCAAAATTCTCTATTCAATATAAAAAGTGAATTCTCTGAACAACTGAACAATGTAAATACTAAACATAATGCGATTAAAACAAAATTAGAAAAATTAGACATAAAAATACAACAACTCCAAGGCGAAAATAACAGTTTAAAAAAGGAAGTAGAAGATCTTCAAAAGAAAAGTCCTATCGCATACAAACCACAAATGGACATGAGTAAAAAAATTGTGTTATATGGGCTTGAAGAGTATCAGTGGGAAAATGAAGACCAACTTGATGAGCGTGTAATGAATATTTTCTATGACATCATGAATATTGATCTAGAAGGTTATTTAGAAAGTACAACACGCATAGGAAGAAAAGGTAGCCGAAAACCTGTGGCTGTAGATTTTATTAGTAAAATAACCACAAACTATATTCTTCGCAATTATGGGTTCTTTAGAAACTCTGGCTTGGGAATATCACCATTTCTGGATGATGAATCTATACAAAAACGCCACAAATTGAGGAAAACGTTATATGAACAAAGACAACAAGGGAACCACGCCATAATTCGAAACAACAAACTAATAGTCAACGAAAAAGAATATTTAAGAGAGATAGAACATAAGAATGAAACATCAGGAGATATAAGAAATCATCAGCCCATAAATACGAATGTACAATCTGAAAACAACTCATATTTTACGAATAAAAACAATGATAGACCCAACTATTATACATCAAACTCTAACAAAAACAATTATACATTTCGAAGCTACTAGCACCGCGATATTATTCCAGAATACGCAAAATATCAAAAATAAACCTCACATATAAGAAAGTTTACTACAAGACAGGAAATTTCAAGTGGTTTGTCTTACAGAAACTTGGATTCAAAAAGACCAAAAACACCTGATCCGTATAGACGGCTACGACTTCGCAGCACCTTACTGCCGGCGCGAACGTAGAGGAGAAGGAGTAGCAATATTACTACCAACAGGGTGGAAATACACTGAAAGAACTGATATAACTGAATTAACAATAGAATATATAGTGGAATGTTGTGCAATTGAATTAGAGTCAAAAGAAATAATAGAAGCTTTATATAGAAATGACCGTGAAGTCGAAGTGTTTCTTAATTTTATTACTAAGTTGCTCGATAATATATAGCCATTTTGTACAAATAGACGTATTGCATTGGTAGGTGACTTCAACTTAAACGCCTACACCAGTCAAGAGATTATAAAAGATTGAGTGATATAATGCTAGAGTATAACCTCCGCCAGTTAGTTATTGGACCTACCAGGAAGACACATACTAGTTCGACTTGTATAGGTCTTGTTTTTTGTAATCACAAGCGGGCAACTGTGTCCGTGGAAGACTGTGGTATTTCAGACCATAAAGCTATAAGTTATAGCTACATCCAGAATAACACTGCAAATATATCTAAACCTTTACGAACCACAAAAAGAAACTTTAACAATAAAAATAATATTGAAAGATTTAGATATGCACTGAGTCAAATTGATTGGAATAAAACATTAAGAAGTGAAAATAGCATAAATCAAAACTACAACCTATTTGATGATCAACTAAAAAACTTATACAAATAAACAGAAGCAAACGTGTTTAACGAAAGGACTGAGAATATCGTGTCAACATAAAAGATTGCTAAGAATAGTTATAAACCAGTCAAACAGTAAAATACTAAGAAATCATTTTAAAATATATAGTAAAAAATTGATAAAATGTATTAAAATGTCAAAAAGGAAAAACTACATAAAATAGATAAAAGCTTCTGAGAATAAAGTAAAAACTATGTGGAATATTATAAATCGTTTAACAAAAAAAGCAAAAATACTCAAAAACGGAATATTAAATTAAAAGTAAATAATACCTATTTACACTCTCCCGAAATTACTACTGAACATTTTAATCAATATTTCGCATCAATAGGCAGTCGATTTCAAATACAACCTAACGTAACTATACCACATAGCCATGAATTAACTTCACTCACTCTCAATTCCATTTATCTATCACCAGTTACAGAATTTTAATAAACAGATTTTTAATATAATAAAAGTATTCCCCAGTTATGGTATAGACAACATTCCCTTATCTTTAACAAAAGCATGCATATATGAATTAGCCTACCTCGTCACACTTTTAATAAACCAATCTTATGAAGAAGGCGCCTTCCCAGACCAATTAAACATCGCAAAAATAAAACCAACGTTGAAGAAAGGAGGAAAATCTTGCGAAACCAGTAGTTACAGACCTATTGCTCTTTTACCAGTTATATGTAAAGTTTTTGAAAAATCAGTAGCAAACCGCCTTTCAAATTTCGTGGAGAAATATCACCTTAATGAAAATCAATATGGTTTTCCCAAACTCGGTCCACCACTATTGCTGTTTTTAAATATGTTCAGGAGATATATAATCATATTAGAAATAATAATTATGCCGTAAGACTGCTGCTCGACATGTCCAAAGCATATGATAATGTCCAGCATAGTATTTTGCTTAAAAAAATGCACAGTATGGGTATTCGTGGCAGAACTTACAAATGGTTGAAATCTTACCGTACTAACAGACAACAATTCGTACAGATTAAACATTATGATGATATAACTGGGGAGATCCAATTCAGTCTAATCCCCATACTATAAACTGCTCCATACCACAAGGCAGCGTAATTGGATGTCTCTTTTTTCTTATGTATATAAATGAACTCCCGAAACTCCGTAAACCACTTTGCGTCCTATTCGCAGACGATGTCTCTACTATTTAAATGTCCGTAACAAGATGTCGCGTATACAAATAATGAAATAATAAATACCTTCCAATCCATTCAAAACTGGTTAACAGATCATCATAACCTTTAAATAAATACTAATAAAACAAAACTAATCCAATTCAGACTGTACCAGATACAACCTTTAAATTTGAATACATTAACCAACGTTTTGAATATTGAAGAAGTTAAAGATTGTAGTATGTTGGGAATAACTATAGACACTAATTTAAATTGGACTAAACATATTGCAAAAATAAAAACTAAACTAAACGCCTTAAGTGTACTGAAACAAAATACAGACATCGATTCTGCCTTGACTACATATTATGCGTATGCAAACGCCTGGTTCCGCTACGGAATTATCCTGTGGGGACACACTCATGAGGCGCAAAAGATATTCATACTACAGAAAAAGTGTCTCAGGATAATCCTAAACCTACGCCATAGAGATAGCTGTAAGTCTTTCTTCATAAAGTATCAGACACTCTTCCATGTTTGTATATACTCGAAATAGCGACATTTGTTAGAAAAAATATAAACCTCTTTGAACATGTCAGAAGTGAGCGTAGACAGCATAAGCTAGTATCTCCATCGCCTAAACTTGCATTTTTCAAAAATAGCCCTTATTACAGAGCAATAGCAATATAAAACATGGTACCTAGTAATATATTACTTCAGAAAGACGAAAAGCTGTTTTACAACAAATTAAAAAACCTCCTCATACAAAAGTGTTATTATGCAATACAAGATTTTGTTGAAGACAAAGAACTTTAATCCCCCTATTTTAAGCTCTACAATTATAATAATTAGTATATGGATTCATTATTTCATTGTTACTACATTACTTTAAGATATTTTATTATTTAAGAGAATGCAATACTTTTATTATTTAATTTATTTTTAACTATTAATTATTTTTAAGTTTAATAATTTGCATGTCTAAGTATATTTTTAAGTCTTAGCTACGCCCTTACACATGTAACGTAATTTTGTAATGTAATTTTATTGCATGTTCGCTAATAAACAAATACTGAAAATACTGAAATAAAAAATTGATTACAGTACTTTTAAACCACCAAATTTACAAAAGTCCACCAGCTGAATGTTCACCTGTCCACCAGCCTTATTCTGTATAAAAATACTGTGTTTACATTTTCTTCATCAGCCTTAGTCCGCCACATTTTATACCAACCACCAGACGAAGAGGAAGTAACAAAAGAAGGAACAGAGAAGAAACGACCAAATGCAAACAGGATATCCGCGTACGATCATTATAAAACTTATAGTCCCACGAGGCAACAGATTTGGCAAATGAGACGAGAGGCCAAAGAACAGAAAAAGGTGAGCGAAGAACAGGCTAGAGCTAGTTATGTTTGAATGGCGGGACATGTGATTTAATAAACAGTCCTGCGAGCATGATTCTAACAAACGCAGTTTGATCCTATATCAGATATTCACTAAATTCAATGACATTTAATAGACATGGTTTAGAGACCAATATGAAGCGTTGTGGTTTGTCAATTTCCGTTTCAATTGTATTGTTCCCATATTTCCTTCCAAATGGGCCCATTTTTATGTTATTCTTTTAACAACGACAATATTTTCTGTTGATTTTCGAAAACATGTCCTTAATTATCTACTTTAGTTTTGTAAGGCCACTAAACTACGAAATACTGGCGCTTCAACGCGGCTCTCCGGGGCCCTACACTCGGTTTAGACCACTCTTCTTAAGCTAAGTACGATAACGATTGCTTCCACCTGTGGGATGGTTCTGCTAAATGCCAACTTCATTCAGGTGGAAAGCGTGTCAAGAGGCTTATAGATGACTTGAATTTAGTAGAGGCGAAGGTGCTGGGCCTTAAACATCGCTGTAAGGTTGCCTACTTATTGGTATTCTACAGGATATATCACGGAGAAGGTGCGATGGAATTGCACAATTTAATATCGCATCCTCTTTCCCTCATCAGGGCACTAGACATTTTGGCCGGGGACCCCTTCCGCGTGCCTACCCGCTCTTCTAGCATCGCCCACGTGACACAAATCTCGCAATCGGTTTCTTTTTAAACTAAATAAGTTCTATTTTGTTTGTTGTAAATATATTGGACTCTACATTGCACACGTTTATCACTGTACATAAGTATCAAATGAATTATTTAAATATTCAATAAATTTAAGAGAACACAACATACTACATTACAGAAATGTACGTATATATATGTTATTTATTTTAGTTTATACGCGACACACACGTCCGGTATCATTTAGTTTTAGGGTCCACTGAAAATCAGCGTCGCAACCTTTTCTCGGAGGTGACATTAGCACAGCCGCACACATGACAACTACTTACACAATAGTCTTAACTATCTTTGGGTCATTTCATTACCTATTACTAAGATTTTATTTTTAATTAATTTTATTTTAAATTTTTATTGAATTGATATTCAATTATTTTTTTGTGAAATTTTTCCACTAGTTTGTTATAATTCTTAATACAAAGATCGAACACTCAGAAAAATTTCCTTCGATCCGGCCGGATTCGAACCGACGTCTTCTAACATACCGTTCCAGACGCTATACCAACTAAGCCACGGAACGAACCAGCGGACCTCACGAATTTTTCTATGAGCTTGCGTCATATCTTTGTATTTGGTTTTTTCGACGTTACTTACGCAACCAGGTTAAGTTTCATTAGTAAAAATGTTACGAAATTTCTCGTTCTTGACAAGATAATTTCAATAATTACTAATTTAGTATATATCGTGAAAACACGACTTATACAACAATATTCTTTTTTTATTTAATAAAAAAAATCTAATAAACTTCAAATAAACGTTTATAATGATAAATCAGGGCTTTTTATTGTTTTATGCTATCTGTACATGTCATACTGGCTCCATCAGTGTCACAAGCCAAAAATTATCTTTTTTGTTTTTTCTGTGGGCGCGTGCTGAATTTTACCTGCTTTTCTGTAAAATATGGACATTATACTCGGTTTGAAACTAGGTAATGTCACTTTTGACGTCTTATCGGTAAGTTCGAAACACGTAACGGGTACAAATTAACTTGCAACCTTTGCAATTTTTGAGTTGAGTCAGTCATGACATGAAGCCGAGGTCCGATATGTTTATACTTAATATAAAAGATTCCCCTAGGTTAAATCGGTGCATTTTCTCCTACCTAAGTGTAATATTCCTAAAGTAACTGTAACTGAATAAATAAATATTAATATACCAATTTTAGATAGATAAAAAATTCAAACGTGATAGACTGTTAGCAGAGAAGAAACGTATAGCTCGACAAGCCATTGCTGAAGAACTTCAGGCCATGAAAATAGCTAAAGAGAATAAAAAAATGGAATATTTGAAAGCCGGTGTGAGTAGCTTTTATATTCATTACTTCTACCTAGTTTTACATTTGTTTACCGACTTTAAAAAAAGGAGGAGGTTCTCAATTCGACTGTGGGCTTTTTTGTCTGTAAGTACGCGATAACTCCGTAATTTGTGAACCGATTTTAATGATTCTTTTTTGTTGGAAAGAGGATACCTCATTAGTGGTCCCATTTAAATTTCAATATCGTCCCTGGCCAGCAGATTAAGCTCCGCTGCATGCGCAGTCCGCAGAATACGTGAGCTTACCGATGTTAGTACTGCTAGACTCTGCTAGACGGGATTCTCATGTGGGGTAGAGCGGCAGATATTCAAACCATATTTGTATTGCAAAAACAAGCGATTCGTTCTGTGTATCGTCTAGGCTCTCGGGTTTCTCTCAGAGAAAAGTTTAAGGAGACTGGTATCATGACTGTGGCATCACAGTACATTTACTCAAATATTTTATATGCCCGTAAAAATATACATAATTTCAATAAGAAAGAAGATATCCATAATATTAACCTTAGAGCTAAGTCCAAACTCATGGTACCACGATTTCGGTTAACCAAGGTAAACAATTCTTTTATGGGGAACTGTATACGTTTTTACAATAAGATTCCGGAGCATATATTAAGTTTATCATTTCCTAAGTTTAAAAACTACATTAAAAATATTTTGATCGAAAAATCATATTACAAAGTTGAAGACTACGTGTTAGATAAAGATGTATGTAAAGACGATATGGCTCCAGAATCCACACAAATTTGATTCAAAGTGCATATAATATATATTCCATAGCATATAAGTTTTTTGAAAAGAGCAATCCCTAGAGTTTCTTGCTCGTTCTTCTCAGGGAGGTCAGCAGTAGCTTAAATGTGACGTTTTCAAGTGTAAATTTATTTTACCTATGGAATAAATAATCTTTGACTTTGAATAAAATATTCCACTGCTAAGGGTGGCAAAGTAGGGGATGCATGATTTTGAGGTCGGTTTTTTAGTACTCTCTGTACTGAGATTATAAAAACATATATATGTATAATGCATGAGTTATAGTTGCGTGTACTTTATTATTGTAATGTAAATAATCATCAGTTTATAAATCTTATGAACATATGTATATTTAGTAAGACCTTTTATAACATAACGTATGGTTTAACGAAAAAATGAATATGAGCAATCAGTGATGAATGATTTTGAAAAATTTTGTTGATCGAGCAGACACAAAGAATTCCTTCGACCCGATTAGACCTACAACTTTACTGTTGAACCAGTACTGTTGCCTCAACGTGACTACATTTATCTTTTAGACCATGGGAGAGGCAAGAATGAATAATGTTTATCATACAATTGTTCCTTTTAATGATTGCATTTAAATCGACACAATACATGTCGAATAAAATTGAATACTATTTTGTGGGACCTTTGTGGATCCCACAACATCCATAGAAAATTTCGATACCTACTCAACCAAAATACAGTTTTCTTTCTTTCAAAATATACAAGACTAAATTGTGACGGACCTTGTGTAATTTTAGTAACGTAGAGTTGTATTTGACAGAACCTGGAAGAGATGGACAGATTAAATGAGGAGCCAGAACCCACTGAAGAAGATGTGGACATTGTAGTTCCTGAGGTAAGTGTGTGCATACTAGAATTTCTCACTTTTAAAAGAAGATTCGTATTCAGAAATATCTCTATAATATAATATGTATTGGTTGATGGTATGAAATCCGTTCAATAGACGGTTCAGAAAAATATCGAGGATGTAACCAGCAATAGAGACGAAATGTCATTTAATTTGTTTGAAAACTATTCTGCCATATCATTACTGTGACAACTGTGCTCCGATTGGATAGCCCGAGTTCGAAACAATTGACGGGTGTCGTCAATGGGTGTCGTCAATTGTTTCACTTCAAATCGACCAGTTAACTTGAGCTTTGCTATAATGGACGAAAATTGAAAAATTACATATTTAATATTTAATTACCGATGAAATTTATTCCATTTGTTTTGTAGTTAGATATTTTGCTGTTTTTCCCTACACCACCGAATGAAACAGTACGCCATTGTTAGAGATATTATCTTTATTACAATAAATACAGAACATTTTTGGAATATATGGAGACGTACACACAGGTCAGTTGTTGGCGCTGTACTATTTCAGTGCAAACGAGAGTTGATATTTATAAGTGATGTATCACTGATGAGTTACCAGGAATATATACCTCTTATTTCGTCTCTATGTCTGGTCTGAAGATATACTGATGTGAAAATATAACCCTAAAAATGTAGAGACCAAAATTAGAACTAAGAAAAGCAATGACTTTCGTGACGACTAAGGCTACGGAGATGTAGGATACGTGAGAACACGAGTCAAATATTCTTTAATTCTATCTAGAACAATGTACAGTGATAAACTGATGACAAAGTACAGAGTGCAACAGGCGACTTTAATGACATATTTATTTTATTTAAAGTCAAAGTTTAAGTAATCTGAAACAACCCATATATATCCTTCTGCTAAGCTGAGATATCCTTGAAGAAAATGGTACAAGGTCATGTTCCATCAGGTCTTCTGGCGATACATCTTCTTCTTTTCGAATTGATGGCATGAAAGCTAATTCTGGACGACATAGATCGTGCGGTGTGTACCTTAATCTGGAACAGAGCCACAGTTATACGTAGCTGTTTTCGCCAACGTAACTTCACTTTGACAAGTTGTCGCGGCATCTGCACACGTAATCAATTGAGATACTTCCTAGTAATCTACGGGAGCTTCCGATTCGATGGGAAACTTTAGATTTATTTCAGATGACGTTACCTTTCACTTTTACAGCAAGCAATAAAAAATTAAATTGCGTAATATTGTTTGGTGCAGACCAATTCCGGGACTCGAGCACTTTCTGATCGGAAACTTCTATTATTATTCTTATTGATTAAATTTGTATTGAATTGATATTCAATTATTTGTTTGTGAAATTACTCCACTAGTTTGTTATAATTATTAATACAAAGATCGAACACTCAGAAAAATTCCTTCGATCCGGTCGGATTCGAACCGAATTCTTCTTGCATACCGTGCCAGACGCTATACCAACTAAGCCACGGAACGAACCAACGGACCTCACGAATTTTTCTATGTGCTTGCGTCGTGTCTTTGTACTTGGTTTTTCAACGACTTTTTAGTCGTAGCGCCATCTATGAGAAATCTATGACAGATTTATCACCCAGTTAGTACCTTTACAGCTACCAGTCCTGGCGAGAGATGTCGCTATTCACTGTATTAATTAAATTTTTATTGAATTGATATTCAATTATTTTTTGTGAAATTACTCCACTAGTTTGTTATAATTATTAATACAAAGATAGAACACTCAGAAAAAATTCCTTCGATCCGGTCGGATTCGAACCGACGTCTTCTTGCATACCGTGCCAGACGCTATATTATTCTTATTGGTTTTCCCCTTATGGCAATCCCGCTCGTACTAGTCGACGGGACCTCTTAATAAGTGGAACCGACATCGAGGAGAACCTGTTTGAACCAGTATTGTTATGCTAACAAAAATTAAAAACTTCTCAACTTCTGGGTCCTTCTGGTGCAAAGGTACCACGGGTTCTCACGGGTGCGCGGATGGTGAAAAAAGCCGTTTAAAACTAAAAAAAGATCTGCCAAACACAAAGAAATTCGTAAGATCTCTTGAATCAGTGTATAGCTTAGGTGATAAAGAGCGGTGATTCCGACATGGCGACAGACACTAGGGCTCTATTCCCATTCTCCGTCTGTCATCCATCCGAAACAATTACTGTCAAATAAGTTAATACTCGACCAAATTTAAAAACGCATGACGCGAATGAAGGGGTGCGTTAACTTAATTCACCTGAATTAATTCACCTAGGTGCCTTAAGTACACTTTTAGTAAACCTAAATCACCTGGGTGCATTAGGTAAACATAAAAGGAAACTGTATTCACCACGATAATTAAGGACGCCAGGATTCAACTCGTTACACGGTACAGATACGGTGATGAAAAACTACGTGATGAAATCTGCACGTTGAAGAAGTTCACAATGAAGTCCCCAACCTGCATAGGACTAGCATGGCGTAAATCCTCGCATGAGAAGAGACTCTACTCAGTAGTGGGCCGCACAAGTAGGTTACAGTATGATTAGTGTTCTGAGTAATGCACCCAGGTGATTTAAGTTTACTAAAAGTGTACTTACAGCAACTAGGTGAACTAATTCGGGTGATTAAGTTAACGCACCCGAAAAGCTTCATACTTAACAGTCTTTTGTTTTGGTCGAGTATCACTTATTTGATATTGGACGGAGAACGGATGAAGACCCTTGCTGTGGGCCTTAGAAGGGCAGTCCCATATCTTTCAAAGTTTTGTTTATAGTGCCCCTCTCTATCAACCCCTTGGTTATGCGGGAAGGGCACTATGACCAGTGCGAGAGAACCCGCACAGGGACCTTTTAAGTCTGGTCCTTACCCCAGATCAGCCCGTTTGCACGGACTTCATCCGGTTCTCTGTAAGGCTCCACGTATATCTTCTCTGACCAGCAGATTAAGCTCCGCTGCATACGCAGGCCGCAGTTAACGATGTTAGTACTGCTAGACTAGTTTACTTTAGTTACTTACATAGTATAATGTCCTACGGGATTCTCATGTGGGATAAAGCGCCAGATATTCAAACCATATTTGTATTGCAAAAACGAGCGATTCGTTCTGTGTACTGTCTAGGCTCTTGGGTTTAGCTCAGAGAAAAGTTTAAGGAGACAGGTATCATGACTGTAGCATCACAGTACATTCGTTCAAATATTTTATGTGCCCGTAAAAATATACAAAATTTCCATAAGAAAGAAGATATCCATAATATTAACCTTATTATTAGCTAAGTCCAAACTCATGGTACCACGATTTCGTTTAACCAAGGTAAACGACTCTTTTATGGGGAACTGTATACGTTTTTACAATAAGATTCCGGAGCATATATTAAGATTATCATTTCCTAAGTTTAAAAACTACTTTAAAAATATTTTGATTGAAAAGTCATATTACAAAATAGGACTACATGTTAGATAAAGATGTATGGAAAGACGTCACGGCTCCAGAATCCACACAAATTTGATTCAAAGTATATTCCATAGCATTTAAGTTTATTTGAAAAGAGCAATCCCTAGAGTTTCTTGCTCGTTCTTCTCAGGGAAGTCAGCGTAGTGAACTAGCGGTAGCTTAATGTAATGTAAAGTAAATGTGACGTTTTCAAGTGTAAATTTATTTTACCTATGGAATAAATGATCTTTAACTTTGACTAGTGCCTTAGATGAGCCTCCCCGGGTGCACGTCCACAGGTCCGTCCCTATTTTCCATAAAGGTACAGGAGCTGGAGGCCTTAAAAGAAAAATAAATAATTATTTACACACAAAATATAATAAAAGTGTTTGTAAAGTATAATAAAGCTAACTCCTTGCTAATGCGCTTTCTATTTCTGAATGCCATGTAAATAAAATAGCAAGTTATGTTTTGTTTAACAATAAGTATTTATATTCTTTCTGCTGAAGCAAAGTCATTACAACTCGTATTTGGAATGTATTCATTTACTAGCGCATATCGCATAGGCCGTAAATATACCTTTTATAATTAATAATAGTAAATAAATGATAGACAGTCTGTTGTAAAATAAATATCACTTATTTGATATCGGACGGAGAACGAATGTAGAGCCCTGGTTCGATTCCTGTCAGATCGAACGATTTTTGTGTTCGATTTTTGTATCAATAATAATAACAAATAATTGAAAATGAAACCATTTTTTGGGTGTAAATCTGGTTCGCTAATTGATATTGTATGTCATCTCAGTAAGTCGTGACGATGGGACTTGTCAAGAGCTTGAAAGGTCTCGGTAGGTTTCACATATATACGCGTTCATAGAGAGATACGGCAAGAAAGTCGTTACAAAACAAAAAAGATCTGCAAGAAGCACACGGAATAATTCATGAGATCCGTTGGCTCGTTCCGTGGCTTAGTTGGCATAGCGTCTGGTACTGCTAGGAGACGTTGGTTCGAATCCAGCCGAATCGAAGTGAATTTTTTCTAAGTGTTTCATAATTATAACAAACTAATGTAGTTATTTCACAAAAAATAATTGAATATTATGGTGAAACACCCTGACGTTCAGTTAAACTTAATTGTAAATGTGCACGATCAAGGTTTGAAAAAGCAGTTTCATTTCCAATGTGTCAAAATTGCGAAATCTAAGAACTTATATATTATACTGCAATAGTCTTGAAATGGTTTTTCGTAGGAGCTGTCAGACCCGGAAGATGAAGAAAGCGAAGTGGAGGAAAACGAGGACGAATACTTCCCACCAGCAGGTCTCGTTGTGCCTGGGTTCTATGCTCCACCGAATGACGTTGCCAAGGCCAACGGCTTGGCTGTTCTTTTTCCTAGGGTATTTTCATTTATTATTTAAAAAATATTACAAACGTAAAGATTGTCGTTCATTTATTACGTCAGCACTTTTTATTTCTTGTCCAATCGGACCAGCCTCAATTCAACCTCTAAAGAACGAACTATGGTGACTTATGTGGTCGAGTGACTATGAGGTCCCGGGTTCAATCCCCGGCCGGTTAATGTAGAAAAACTAACTTTCTATATTGTCTCGGGTGTTGTTTGTGGTACAGTCGTTGTTTCTGATTTAAAAGGGTTGCGTTTAATTCGATGTAACAACAAGTGACATTATTACTACTCAAAATAATGCTCGAGAGACAATTAATTTATGATATATAGACATGTAACCATTGATATATCAAAACATTTCAATCTAATGTACGAATGATAGTATATTCTATATTTCATCGTGTACCTAATAAAGCAAAAAACAGTAAAGTATTTTTTAATTTAGTGTCTTTGTTATGTTTATTAAATAATCTTTCAATCTATTTTATGTTTGTTTTGTTAGTGCTTGTGTTTTGCAATTATTTATTTGTGTCTAACGTCTGAATGTTTTGATGATGTTTTTAATTTTTTTTTGCTTTGTTTCTTTTTTTTATATAGTATCCTAGATTCAAATTTAGGTGCCTCGCGACGACGAGCGCAGTGAAGAGGAGATTATAAATTTCGAGAACGAACGTGCTGCAGCAGCGCCGGTGAAGCGTTAGAACCCTTAATAAGGAAAAAAGTTCACGGAATGACATCTATTTGCCAAGTTTTATTGAAATTGGATACCGGAAAGTGCGCTAAAACTTTAATTCTGCATAAATTGGAGCAGTTTTTGAGATCATTAACAAATTCAGTTGCATACAATTTCTTTTCACACTAGCTATTCAAAGTTAATGTTTCACTTTTTAAAAGGTATACCAAATTAATAACTTTTCTCACATTTTATGATATTTCTCGTTAAAATATAATTGCAATACCTGGAAAAGCTATTCAGGATACCCGAAAAATTAAAATAACAACCATCTGGAGCTAACCCTGGCAATAATAGCATAAAACCCAACAAAAAGTAAAGTTTTTCCATCCATCCAATATCTCGAAAACCAAAAGACTTATTAAGGTTAAATTATTTTCTATGATAGGTATAGAGCTCACCTATCCACAGAGTCGCTCTGACGTGAAATTTATGGGATACCCTGTATACATAAATAACATATATTGTTTAAGTTAAAAAGCAATAACTTTTTTTATAAAAAAAAAGTTTGTGGAATTACATATATTTGCCAAGTTTTATCGAAACTGGATTCATCCTCTAGTTTGCCACACTTAGTGGTTGAATATTCAGAAAAAACAGTCGAATTGAGAACCTCTTTCTTTTGAAGTTGGTTAAAAATAATACCAAAATATTTTACAAGTTTAAGTTTGTATAACAAAAATATTAATTGCGTATTAAGATGCCGAGCGATCATAGTAAGGGTATAAAAAGGAAATTAATCGGCGCTTCAATTTAAACATATATTTTAGCATGTAATGGAGAATGTAACGCCTCAACCTGAGTTCCTTCCACCACATGTCCTGGTGATGCTGGATATCAACAAACGACACAAGGTCATCACTGTTATTACTCCGTATAAGTACTCCATCATACATGTAAGTACCGTCAACATTTCAATACTACATTACTTTTGTTGACATAGATCTGTTCAGTACCAGCGTAGACTGGATTCATGCACATATACATAGACAACCACAAATTACACCGAAACTCACGAGAGAAATAAATGCAGGCCATACAAATGTTTCTCCCGGCCCGGGAATCGAACCTGGAACCTCTGCGTGGTAGTCCGGCATGGTAACCGTACGGCCACGGAGGCAAAGTACCTATCTCTCATTGTTTTCTTTCCTGTGTTTAAGATATGCGTGTTATTGGTTGGGCTTTTTCACCTGTATTGGTACGTGTACCTGTGATTTCCCTACGTGTAAAATAATATTATCTTGTTTACATTTCAATAATAATGTTTTAGTTTCGGCTGAATAAAAACTTAATAACTTATTTTTCGTGCTATTTGTGGATAATAGCATTTTCACGTATTAGGTACTTAACACATATTTATATTGCACATATTTATATGCTGTAAATCTTCCAAAAATAAATAAATAAATGGCATATAATTGTCACACGTCATATATCATACTTAACATACATAGTTAACTGTCTCTGTGGCCGAACGGATACCGTCCCGGGTTCGATTCCCGGGCCGGGAGAAGTATTTGTACGGCCTACTTTTATTTATCTCGTGTCTTTGTGTATACTTTGTGGTTGTTTAGGTGTGTGTTCATGGTACCCGTGGTACAGGGTTTCCCTAGTGCGGGGTATGAGTGCGTGCAAAAAAAAACTACCTGTGTCTATTACATCGATACTTCACATGTAAGTTGTAAGTAGTAAGAAGTAAGACAAAATACCATGTTTTGCTTTTTAACTTAAATTTATGTATATATATTAAAGATTATAAGTGCGCATTTCACCTCCATGTCACCTGATGGAAAGTAACGATGAGGTCGACAGTGGAGCATACATTTTTTAGTCATATTAGCAGTTCCATATTTAAAAGTAATTAAAAACATTTTCTTATGTTTAGTTTCATACATGGAACCTATAATACATTAAAAACAAAGAAAAACCTATGACATAAAAAAATTATTACTTAATTTAAAAAGCAATAACTTTGTTTATGAAAAAGAAACTGACCTCAAAATATAATGGAAGTACATCTATTTGCCAAGTTTTATCGAAACCGTATTCGTCCCCTAATTTGCCACCTTTACAGGTGGAATATTTTCTTTAAATTTAAACGGGACTAGTACCAAGGTAACCGCTTTCCAATAAAAAATAATGATCAAAATCAGTTCACAAATGCCGAAAAAAATGCCGGAAAATGCAAAAAAGTTATCGCGTAACATACTTACATACATAAAAAAAGTCGAACTGAGACCCTCCTCTTTTTTCTTAAGTCGGTTAAAAATGGTATTTTGACTTACACAAATTACGCGTATATATGTATATAGGGTGTTGTATGGCCATACGACGTGAAGGGAAAGTACGAATATTTTGTTTCATAGATTATTTTATATTTATTATTTTATTTTATTTTATTTTTTATTCAAAGATTTATAAAAAAAATTAAATAGTATCAAGTGGCGGAACGAACAAGTCGTGCACGTAATGGTAAACTACACGCCTGTCTGTAATAGTTGCAGTGCCACTCAAAGCTTTAAATCGCAAAGATTTGTGAGGCACTGCCACCGTGCCCGTCACCCTGAGACATAAGTTGACAAGTCACATGTGCTTGTAATTTTACCAGCACCCATAATGCTTGCTTCATCTGGAAAACGAATCAAGAAAATGTGAAAAAAGAAACATTATAAAAAACATTTTCGTGATGTCGATCGAAAGGGTTAATTATAAACATTAATTTATTTTAAGTAACATAGTATTCCTTTCGACGACCTTTGAGGTCGAGTATCTTCCACACTAGTTTTCACGGTGTCGCCATCTCTGAGGTCCCGGTTTCGACTTCCGGCCAGGTCGTTGTAGAAGAACTGAATATTCGATATTGTCTCGGGTTCGGGTGTTTGTGGTACCGTCTTTGTTTCCGATTTCCATAGTAAAGGTGCTTACTTTGGGATCAGAGCAATGTATGTGTGGTTGTCTAATCTTTATTTTATTTATCCTTTCTTCAATATTTAAAGTTTTCCTTCGTGTCGCAAAGCCGTGGATATCTGAGTATTGATTAATAAGGACCACGTTTATTGTCGAATAGGAAAGTATACGTAAATATATATATATATATATATATATATATATATATATTATTTTTATTGAAAAATAAAACAAAAAAGTTATTTTGGTGATATCGAAACAATTTGGAAAATAAATTGTGAATTGAAATTTGTTTCGTCAATACATTTACAACAATAATGATTTATTTCTCAAGTAAATCTTACATTAAATAGACCCAGTGTTAAGTATAAGAGCCATTGTGAGTAACGAGTCCGGAGTCCGTCCGCAGTAGAACTCCTTGTGAAAGAGTTCGTCTAGGGAAGTACTGCCATCTTGCCTATTTCTACAGCCAAGCAGTAATGTTCACGTTACTGCGTTACGGTTTTGAAGGGTAAGGGTGCCTGTGACTCTACAGGTACATGGGACTTGTCAACTTATGTCCCAGTGTATAAAGCTCTGATTGGCACAATAACTGCTACGGACAGGCATGTCGTTTACTACCAGGCGCACGACTTGTTCGTTAGTGATGGGCGATAGTTACTAAAAATAATCGAATTATTGATTATAAACTCATTCGAAATAATTTGATTGTTAATATCAACTAGTTACAAAATGTGTAACACGTTTTGATTGTTGATCGAATATCGATTGTGAATCGAAATAGTTACTAATCTACTAGTTACCAATTTTTAGTTGTTGATCAAGTATCGTAATAGTAATAGGATTTATTGTTAATGAATTAGTAACAGGATTGCCTCGTATTAAATTAGGGTGTAGCGCAAAGAATACGTTCGTACGATAGCAGGTTAAAAATGTTTAAAATGGTTAACCTTAACAAAGGTATAGAGACACATTAGATATGATTTTTCTATACAAAATTATCCGTTACAAAATAAACTGTTCTTCACTCCTTAGCCAATTCAAACTTAAAGTGCCGCATAGATATCCCCGTCATAGAATTAAAGCTCTCTTTTCGACGCCAATTCGCAGGACAGTAGCGGGTCGCAACTCGCCATTTCCTCGTCTATGCAGCTTGTATAACCATTTTATCGTTAATATCAATAATTTAGATATATGTATTTCACGACTCTTTGGTTAAATTCCGTCGATCGATTACATCATCGTGACCTAATTTTCTTTAAATTTTCAAAACTTTTTTTTTTCTTTTAATAATATTGTTTACTATTTAAGTAAATACATAGATACGAGTCTAGCCCTTCGCGGACTACTTTTTTGAATTCACTAATTTACTTGCACTTGGTGTTCATCTGTTAAAAATTGTGCAATTAGTATAAACCCTAGAATAGAAACCACTCATAATGTATTTGTTGTAACAATTGTTGATGAACCTTAATAAATAAATAAATAAAAATTAGTACTAAATAATTAATAGGATGTTTTTTGCGTTCCGTATCATAGTACTTATAGAGAATCTTTTTTAGACACCGAAAATGTAATTAGTAATTACTATATTAGTAACTGTATTCGATTATTTTTCGTAAAGACGTCTTAATGGGAAATCGAATATAAGATAGTGCAAAACAAATCTTGATCAAAGTCCGTACATGATGCTGACTATGCATGCTGGGGGAATTACCTTGTTTATAGTCTTGCGTAACAAATAACAAGATAGCTGGATGGATCATATATCATTGTTTCTATTTCGAGTCGCCGTATGTCTGGTTATGAACAGCACCTCACTACATCGTGCCTTTGGTGGGTTAGAATGTGAATAAATTCCGTAAAAACATAACAGAGACGCTAGGATAGTAATCCTTACCATAAGTTAAGAGTTATCGCGTACAGAATTGAATTCAATCGCTCATAACAAATACGTACGTTGTATAATTAAAATCGTTTTTATAGTATAATCTAAATTCTTATTGAAAATTACGCTTTATGTCGTAGGGTTCAAATTTGCGCATTCGAAAAGTGGTAGTTTGTATAGATTATTCTGCAATTGACAACAAATATGGACGTCAAAAGTACAACGATGACCATTCCAAATATTATTTTGCTATTACAATAACAAATTTAGTAGGGGACATGGAAGCCTCAACGTTAAATACAGCGTAGTTGCAGTAAGATTATATGGCGACAAATACGGCAAAGAATAAAAAAAATATTTACAGACAGTGAATTGATCGAATTATGAAATAGTTTTCTACCTACAAACGACGTTAGTCTTATTGATTCTATTTACTAATTATAGTCAAAGATGGGCTTAAGTGCGGTAAAACCCAAACAACTTTTTTTGTTTTAACTGGATCTTTACCCAAATCCATGTGGCAATTTGTGGAAATTTGGTATAATTCCATATTTGTTACAAATTTCGGTGTAAAAATCTTTTTTAGACGAAAAGGAGCCAACTTCACACAATACCCACCTTGTAATCCTGTGGATTTCCTTTACTAAGGATGCACATTACGATTAAATTTTCGAAAATCGGTTGAACGAATTTTTATATCGATTTATTTCATTTTTCGAACCGATTCAATAGAAAAGCAAATCGAATATAGGGTATTAGGTATCCGGTTTTGAAGGGTAAGGGTGCTGGTGAAATTACAGGCACATGGGACTTGTCAACTTATGTCTCAGGGTGACGGCCGCGGTGGCAGTGCCCCATACATCTTTGCGATTTAAAGCCATGTGTGGCACTGCAATTGTTATGGACAGGCGTGTAGTTTACCATTATGCGCGTGACTTGTTCGTCCCGTCATTTGATATTACATAAAAAAAAAAATTATTACAAAAGCGTCCTTTATGTAAAGGTGTATTGTCAAAGTGTGATGGAAGATGTAAAAAATAAAATTTTTTATTTCACAGTTGGGCATTTTCAAAGCTCGTACTCCTTATGATTCCCATCACATTGCGTATAGCGTTAAACAGTTCGATGCGTTAGGCGAAGAGGCTAACCTGTAAGTACCCTTAAATATGATCTATTACAAATAAATTTCCGGTCTTCATACTCTTTACATAGATAAAACATAATTTACGAAATGTTCATTAAAATTACAGTAATTTTAAAAAACTTTTCATGTCTTATGGGCAAGGTATGTCAAGGAGATTATTTAAACCCTTTGTTGTTTTTAATGTATGCTTATGTATTATCCGCTCACGCGATACCGCACCTAGAGATGCCGGTGATGATTTTATACCGATTTATCGGATATCGAAGTTATAACAGGTAAAAGAACTAATATTAATTGCTATTTCGGTAACTACTCTAGCAAACCATTAAGTTTTTAATGCGTGGGTCTGTCATTTAAAAAAAAATAAACAACTTCAAAAATGCGTTACGACAATCGTGTGTGTTATTGTTTGGGCTGGTGATTTCGGTGTTTATTTATTGAAAACATACCATAAGTAGCATTTTTTAAGTTTACCCTGAATATAAATGTTTATAAACTACACTTTAAGGAGTAATTTCATGGTCAACGTTAGAACCACTCGAACGGAATATTATCATATTTGTCCAAGTACACCAAAAATTTGATTAGTGCTTTTTAAGTGCAGGATTTGCGGTGTATTACTGCATTTTATTTGAGATGTTTTTGTTGGTAGTACGGAGAGCATTTATTTAGCAATGCAGACTAATAATTTTTATTTATAAAAACCTATATTTAAAGTGAATGCTTTTCTAATTTGCGAAACCAAATAGCCGCCATTTTGCGGTAGGAGGAGCGCATCGCGCGAGCGGTTAAAAACAACAAAGGATGAAATAACATGCTGGTGAAATTACAGGCAAATGGGACTTTTGAACTTATGTCTCAGGGTTAGGGGCGCAGTGGCAGTGCCCCTCAGATCTTTGTGATTTAAAGCACTTAGTGGTACTGCAACTGTTATGGCGACTCATTTACCACCAGATGCGCATCGTGTTCGTCCCATGACTTGATCTCATTAAAAAAAAAATTATAATAGTATGTATTTGAGCATAGGCTGTATACCCATAAATTCAGGATCAATATCTGGCACTACATATTTTGTGGTTAGGGCCGACTTTTTGCCATCTGTGGTAGAAAACTCCATATTTATTTGTCTGGTAGTTTACCTAAAAGGGAGGCCCGCTGTCCGCTGCAGAGAAAAACAATGTTAACATTGTTTGTTTCACGATTTTGCGTCAGATATTTAGAGCATGTTTGAAACAGTAATAGCCTTGTTGGAAAAATGGTTGTCTCTCATGTAAGACGTCCTGGGTTCGATTCGTATCAAATAATACGCAGTTTAGTTTGCAATTTTTTATCAGTTTTTACGGTTATGGAAAATATAATGATTGTACAATTTGCTGACTAGTGTATATGTCTGTATGTCAGCGATATGTGGTCGCCAACAAACTGTACAGGAACAGGAACCCTAATGCCCTTAGATATGTGCCTATCACCCTAAGTACTCTAAGGTTAGGACCTTAGCCCTATCATATAGTATGATAAATAAATATATAAATAGTACAAGATATCTGCGACGTGAGACTTAATTAAGGCAGCAGACGGATCGAGGGGAAGGACACAAACCTTTATGTCCTTCACCTCGATCAGTACACTTGTACTGGGGGGTTTTTCTCAATCAAATGCCGGTCTAGCAGACTCACAAGACTGATCTACTGACGGCTAAGGGGCCTTGGTCACAGTAAGATGTAGCTGGCAGGAAATAAATTAGACTCGACTGCTGTTGAAAGACTTATTTTCATATATTAATGGCTAATAATATAAATTTCATATATTATTTCAATAAATTAATGGCTGTTTATACAATTTTACATTTACACACACTATTACTAAAATTGTCTCTAAAATCGAAGTGTCTCGTCGATGTAAAGTGCCGTTGAAGCAGCCTGGTCTTGGGTCTTCTTACTGAGTGGAATGCTTAATGATGAAACTTATGTATCGGAGGAGGAAGTTTATAAAAGTCGCAAAGACATATGGACTATAGCATAAACCATTTCTCTAAAAGAGACTCGTGCCCGGATGTTTATGTGGTTAATGATATAATATTGTTACAGGGAAGAACTAAAGCTTTGTTTCATGGTATCTACTGTAAAAGACTTTGGTGTTCTATGCCTAATGGATCTGTCGCCGATTCATGTGAGTCGCGACAACGTGGCGGGCGAAGACGAATGTGCAGCTTTATTTGGCGTTGATTATGCAGACGATTATCCTGAATTCGAGGATTTTGAGGAAAATGAAGAATAAAATACAGGATATGAAGATATATAGAGAAGACGTACGGCCAGACGTACTGCGATGCAATGACAGTTTTTCTATACTTTAGTGGCTGTATTGAGCTATATATATGGTTTTAAAATAAAATGTTATCACATGGTATGACATTATTATCATTTGCAAGGAGCACATGTGCATAACAGTACGACTTAGAAACTTTGATAATGACGTAGACGTATAGGGATCATTGCAGCTTTTGGAAATGTTGCGTTGGAGTTAGAAAGAGTAACCAATTAGGAGGTACTAACAAGAATGAGAAAAAGCAGTTAGCCTTTAAAAATATTTGGCAACCGAAGAGAAAGTATAAGGAGCCATATACGACATAAATTTAAATTCACTATTGCTATTATTATTCAATTTGATTATTTTTATGTCTAAGTATTGTATGTGTCAAATTTAATGTAATTAGTGTCAGATTGTGTTACCTCTACCAATTAGTATTGTGAATTTTTTAATTGTGGTGTTTTATGACGGGCCATGGCAGAATATCAGCGAGGGCTACGTAATTAGTATAGTCCTCAGATGCTGAGTCATGGACCTTTCTGACATGCTTTTTTTTGCTTATGTGTTTTAACTATATATTTTTTTACTTATTTTTTCTCTTTGTTTTCTATTATTTTGTTTTTTTTTCTGTATTTGTAAAGGAATTATTTAATATTCTGTAATTGTTTCTAAGGTATTTTGCATACACGTGTCAAATAAAGCCAATTTTATTTATTTATTTATAACAACTTCATTAATAATCTGACCAAAGTAGAAGCCAAGCGTGAACGAGCACGACCGAGAATAAGTTACTTTGGCCAAATCAAAAGAAAAGTCGGGTCACGTCGTATGAAGAGGTTCGAAAAAAGCTTTGCGGGGAGCAAAATTGGCGTTTTCATACACCGATATAAACATAGCTAATCTAAGAGGGAGAAAAAGATTATAAACCTTGTAGTTTAATAGAAAATTAATAATGGAAACGACACATTTCGAATAATGCAATACACTTAAAAATAACATCTCTAAATTAAACTCT